CATGACCAATGCGGGAAGTGGTGGTGGTGATGGTACATTCAGCGGGGTGATGAACCAGCGGTCTCACGTGACAAGGGGGAAGGTGTGCTGAAAGCTGCGAGGACAGGGTTATTGGACGTGAATCAACACGATTCACTACAACTTGTTACCCAGTGCCTGTTACTACATCAGCAAGCCAGTCGAAATACGCATTATCTGCATCTCTTAACTCTTGTTGCATTTCTTCATTGGTGCATCGCGCAGTATTTCCTAACAGCAAATTGGTAACGGTGTACAAGGAATTAAATTGTTGACCTGGGTAGATGCCTTCCACGACAAACGTGATTGGTTATGCTTTTAATTCGATTAAAAATGACATGCTTCCTCAAAAACGAATCTGTCGACACGTGAAATTTTAACACAGATTGGAAAGTCAGCTAGATGTGGGGATGATGGCAGTGCAGTTGGTCAGACAGTTGCCTCAGCCACATTCTTGTTAGAGAAAAGAGATTAAGCAGACTTCAGTGGTTGCCACATGTGCAAACCACATCTGTGAAGTAAATTGTGGAGAGGCACTTGATGTAGCTTGTTGAGATGACATTAGCACTCTCGTAAATTTCCGACTTGGGTGTGGTGTTTCTAACAACTATTGACTTGGCACTACCTTAACAACGATGAGCCAAGTATCAACTAGCACAATCTGCAGTGTCTTTGCTTAGCACTACCTCACGACCCTCTGCTTAGCAATCGTCGTGAACCCAAGAAGAGCTTAAGGAGAGACAAGACAGCGCCAGTAGACGAGACCGTATATTAGCGTCGCGCTAGCCAAGTGAGTGTATGTGTGTGTATATGATGTTTCTTGTTGTTGTCTTGACAGGCGACTAAAACATCATCAGTACAGAAAAAGACATGGAGAGGGCCACGCAGAAACTGGCCAATGAGTCTCCAGAACTCGAAAAGCCCACGAAAGATTAAATGAGAGTTTTGGGAAGGTCGTCCAGGGCACAAACATCTGACGGTATACCTAATGGACTTTAACACCACTTAAAAACAAAGAAAACTCGTGAATACGAGGAATACCGTACCAGCCAGAAACTGTATCATTATTCACAGTTTAGTATTCAGCGCGGCGTCTCCAGTCATGCGGTTTCCTGGGTGCCATGTGGAGAGGGTCCACTGATGGCCTGTAGAAAGAATGAACTACGTCGAGACGGCGCACATGCTCAAACTCTTATTTGGTTGGTCCGAGTGAATCAGGTGCACTTGGTCTGCAATCAGTGCATGTTGGCTGACCTCATTTCACGATAAATAAACTGACTTTATGAGTAGGCTTGTAGTGCTATAGATCACTTTGAAAATTTCAGGGAAATCCTTTTGGAGTCTAACCAAATGTATTGAAGCAGGCACATCATGAACAGATAGTGCTGCATTTGAGTCAGTGAGCTTGCCTTTTGCCACATCAATCAGTGGATAGACATGGAAAGGGAATCAGCAGCAAGTATATGCCGATAAATATTAGTCCCTGTAGAAATAAAGTAAGATTACTACCTTAGGTGTAGATAGAAATAATGCAGCTTTGGAACATACGTAGCAATGAGCAAGTTGTTAGTGGCCTGAAGTTGACGATCAAAGTCTTTGAGGTGGCGTTTGTCGGGTCTTGGAGGCATAACGCCAACCTCGGCACCAGTGTTAGGTACATAAAATAGGCGATTAGATTACGTGCCCAGGCCAGTCGTCGCCCTAACTAAAGGCCCCCTTGTTTGCCGATGGCAAATTGGACGACTCGAAAGCATGAATGTGGCTCCTTGGGCATTTACACACACACAGGTGTCAAGTCACCATATCGTAGATATTATCACATAATGGGTTTGCAGGAGATATTTGAACTATAACTGGCGTAAAACACCGTCATCAACACTGTTTGCTCTAGTCAGGTGGCGCATGTGCTGAGGTAGTCGGGATGTAACCCGTCACATAGTTCAACAACCAGATGGAGGTGTCGACGATGGGCATCGTTGGAGCTGGTCGTTCGTGCAAGTTAACAATCCATAAGAAGGTAAGGAGAGAGGAGAGAAGGCAAGCAGGATGGCGACAGCGTCGAGCCATTCATGTATGTATGTAAGTGATCATGAGTGATCTGATGACTGGCAACAAATAAGAGTTATAAGTGTAATGAGAGATCACACAACAGGCTTCACTAGTGCGCGATCCCTGAGTGTCTGCGAAAAATCTATTTGGTGTGAAGTGTGATTAAGCGTTGCAGGTGTGGTTTCACACCTACCAGACACACGTCACAACATGGTTACATTTCACTGCCTGTGTCACGAATCCCCACGGTTTCCTTCTCACTGTCCATTTGGAAAACATCTTGTGGTGGGTACCCGGTTCCACAATTAGAGATCGCGCTTACTGCCTCAGTCTGAGTCATAGAGATCGTGGTGGTCCAGAATTCGCATCTACTAATCAGCCAATGACTGAGCATCACATCTGAAAGGTCAAAGTTAGGCGCCGCACATCCACGCACCACTCACTGGCTGTCGTGACTGCGGAACCGAGCTATAACATGCAGCGTATTCGCTCCGTTGCATAAAACAACTCTATATCGGCGACAGCAAACGCCATGGCACGAGATGTTTCTGAACATACGAAAATTGATTCCCTCATCGCTCTACTCCAAAACGAACAAACATACAGCTATTCTGCGCTTTTCACAGTGAGAATTCCCGTGCTCCCAGACGACACCAAATTGACACTGGACCAGGTCAAATGCATCTTGCTGGATGTCCTCATCGACAATCGTGCGGACGTTTTCAGAGCGGCCTCTGTGTTGACCGTACCGTTGTTCGGCGATGAGTTCAGCAAAGTCGAGCCATTTGAGTACGTTGTCACAGAGCCACCAGAATTGAAGAAGGCTGGAACCAGACTCATGGCAAGCCTACAATGCAATGAGTACATTGCACTGAATGACTTGTATTCTGAGTGGGGAGATGAACAGGTCCAAGCTCAGGTCATCGGAAATACAATTTTGGTGGCTGTGCTCACGAGCCCGCTTGCCGTAATCGCGCCTTTACCGAAATTTCTTAACTGGACTCCTCTGAACCCGCCAATGTCACCGTTCGTCAAGTGCAAAGCTTTTAGACCTGTCGACGGGGATTTGCTGAAATTGATGTACACGAAAATAAGGCAAGATTATGTTCAGTGGGAAATGGGAGAGGTGACTTCTCGTGTGATTGCCCAGAGGTGTGTTTGTTATTTCCACAGACTTGATCTTCACCCACATGATTCCGTCAAGGACGAGGCATTTCGTTGCATGGATATGGGCGTGTCCTTTGCTCAATTTACCGCTTACAGCATGTTAGTGAAATTCTTGAATAAGAGAGGGAAAACACTATCGGACTTATACGAGGTGATTCCTCTTGAATTCATTGAAGAATTTAAAGCCGAAGTTGAACGTCGACGCAGTGATCTGGAAGCGTCGCCTGGTTGGTATCCCTACTGCCACGCACTGAAAATTGGCTTCGTTCGTGAATTTTCAATTCGCAATTGTCCAGATATTGCTTATCTT